CGTGGATGCTACCTGTCGACTCCCCTGTGGAGTTTTTTCTAAGAGGTTCCCATGTGGATTTCCCCTGTTGTTTCCCTGCAGTGAGCTGGAAGCTCAAATCCAGCCATCTCCCTTTCCCCGCACAGACCCCAGCGAATCAGTCCCCTGCCTGAACTGTGATTCATGTGCTTGAGCCTTTAATAAACTCTTTGGACTTTTACCAGTGCTTCCGTGTGTGTTCTGCATCTTGGGCCTACTCTCTGTGAAACCCAATCATGACACTACCCTATTTAAAGATAAATACAGAAATAAATACATTCTCAATAAATAAATAAGGATACAATTGATTGCCCCCCAAAATACAATACCCTAATAGAATTATCATAAAACAGTGAGACATAAATGTATATATCTATGTTCAACTTGTAGTTCTCATTTCACATAGCTGAGCAAGTTGTTTTTTCTGTGCTTCTGGGTTGTTCGGTGTCATAAAAATAGCATCCACCATTAATCCCTCTTTAATTCAGTATGTATTAAACCAGTGAGCGTTTTTTTTTTTGATGTAAGTATACATTTCAAGTCCAATATTGTTTTTTATGTCAGTTATTATCTTGTTATACCGGAGGTAAAATAGTCCTCGTGTTTTTCTGGTTACTGACAATGCAAGAGTTTACATATAATAACTCTTAATAATAATATTAATTATTATTTTTATTTTTTTGTTATACTTTGCCAGATATATTGTCATTTTATTAGTATATGACAGCATTACTGTTCATTTAATATTTTCGGATGGATTTGTCAGTTATATGTTTTTTTGCGTTTGACTAATAATGCATGAGTGGTGTCATGGCGCTTTCCAGTGGATTTCTATGGTACTACAGGCCATTTTCATCCTTCATCTATATGTACCAGTTTTGCCTGCATGGCTATAAATATGTATCTTTATTGTTTATTCTGTTTCAGATAACCACACTTCCACATACATATCCTTAAGAAACCAAATATAAACCTCATCATCATCTGTACCACCATCTCCAATGTACCTGCATCTATTCCTTTAATAAAACTTCTGAGCTGAACCAATGGAGTTGATATATTACTTCTGACCGAGGAAGATTCAATTGATGAGATATCTGGAATTAGCGTTTATTTAACATACACAGTCTCCTACAGGGAGGGAGAGGAGGAATGAGAGAAAAAGTTTTTTTTTTTTTTTTCAGAAATAAAAATAATTATTGCTGCATGAGTGTGAGTGGTATGCACACCCTCCCTGCCCTCTGCGGTTAGGGGTGTCACTTATATGGAGCAGCAATATAGAAATACAGAAATAACTAAATTCTCAATAAATAAATAAGCATATAATTGATTGCCCCCAAAAATACAGTACCCTAATAGAATCATCATAAAACAGTGATACAGTGAGACATAAATGTATATATCTCTGTTCATCTTGTAGTTCTCATTTCACGTAGCTGAGCAAGTAGTTGTTTCTGTGCTTCTGGGTGGTTTGGTGGCATAAAAATAGCATCCACCATTAATCTTTCTTTAATTCGTATGTATGAAACCAGTGAGGGTTTTTTATGATGTAAGTATACATTTCAAGTCCAATATTGTGTTTTATGTCAGTTATATCTTATTATCCCAGGAGGTGAAATAGTTCTCGTGTTTCTTTGGTTACTGATGTTGTGCCATATGCCATGATCATACTTTTTGGACATTGGGAACCAGTTTCCATATTTCATCTTGATAGGATGACCAGAGGAGAACACACAGCTTTAGCGAATAACAACTGGGGGACTTCTGCAGCCCGCCTCTTGAGTTTCAGAACTTATAGAGCTAGGGTAGAGAGAAGGACTGCCTGATGAACGACTGAGACAAAGAACCCCTGCTGTGTCCTGACTGCATAGCTTCAAATGGTAGAAACTCATATTTTCCAAATGGACATGAAAAAAGGTTTGCAGGTCTGGCATGATTAAGGACAGAAAAAAAAAATATGTGTTATGATGATGCTAATCATATTACGTGTTTACTGCTGAGTAAAGACAACGCTAATTGACACTAAAGAATGGACTGCATGCTACGCTATGCTCCAGGAATATGTGTTGAGCTGTTGCTTAAGCTTGGAGCTTTATTCACTAAGGGTCTAAACACTGATATAACATTAGTATCCATGTGTTCCTCAAATGCTCATTACATTCCCATTAGCAAGTATGACCAAGAATCATTTAGTGGAATCCTGATGTCTATTTGCTGCTAGCTATTTCAAAGAGGGTAAAGAATGATTTAACAAAAAAGGTTATTGGTTCTTGATTAAGCAAATCATTCAATAAAACATTATTTGGCCAAATAAAGTTTTATTCACCTCATGGATTTGCATTGTGAATTGGTCATTCACATGTTAACCATTCCAATTTCTTAAAATTAGTGAAAAGCTAATTTGATCATATCCCAAATTCTTCCAGATGAACTTTGGTTTCAAGCACAAAATCCATCTTAAACTGTAAATTGGTTTTCAACCGTGTTCCCCTTCCTCTTTGTACAAAGTAGTTTAGTTTAGTTGCGTTTTACTAGTCTTGAGAGTGTTAAACTGGAATATGTTTGTGTTGGGATCTGGAGATCTGCCACCTTTCTCCAGCAGAGAGCGCCCTGGGTCTCCTGAGATGACACCTCCTACACACCTGAGGCTTATTCGCGTGATTAGGAGACCAACTACTTAAGCAGCGGCCAGACCTGTCTTCAGCGCCGGAGTGTTGACCAGTTTTGGTTAGCGGAACCTGAGTCTCAGCTTGAATTAAGAATCTCTGTCTGCTCTAGAGAGCAACCTGATCCTAACCAGTCTCTGTCTTCTCTGCTCATAGGAAAACCTGATCGAAGCCTGCAGCTCTGGAAGAGCTCATGTTTGGAAACCTGGCTGCCTGCCAAGAAAAGCCAAACCTGAAGATCCTCAGTCTGTGTCTCCCGGTTAGTTCTCAGGAGAGAACTAGGAGAACAACTCAAGGTCTGAACCTCGCTAGCCTGAAGCTAAGCTCAGCCGCTGCTAAGCTCTCTGCTGAATCCACATTCTCTGGACCCAACCGGTTCCCTCTCTCCACCGATCAGTCTGAACCAAATCAGGTACAAATCAGAATCAAGACTTTGCCAAGACGTCACTGCTACCTGGCTAACCAAACAATCCCTCTCTGCAGATTACTCTGTGAAACCAGTCCCGGACCAGTACCAGAACCTGTTCAACCATATACTCTGTGTGTGCTTCTTAAATAAACTGTTAAACTTTTACTCTGTGTCCTGTGGTGTTCTGCATGTGGGTTTAATCACAGAGACCCATCATGACAGAACACTCCGGCCAACAACAAAACCCAGCAGATCACCTCCGGAGGATGATTGAGGAGCAAGGAGTATTTTTACAAGACCATTTCTCTACCCTCCGTGAGTTTAAATTATGTCTGGACCAGCAATGTGTTCTGTTACAGAATTTAGCTGGCCAATTCAGCAATGCTAACTCCGGAGCGGAGCCTGCTCAACTTCCGGTTCCGGAGCCACATCCGCCTCAAAGGTCAGAATCTGTCACGTCACTTCCGGAATTCCGTCCGTGTCTTCCTAAAAGATTTTCAGATACTCAAAACAAATGTAGAGGATTTTTGTTCAAGTGCCGTTTAATTTTTGAACATTCACCCGCCAGTTTTTCGAGAGGGGTCTGGCTGCAGACCTCACGTT